GTGACAGGGTGCGGCCCCCCAACCCCCCCCCCCACGGGCCCTGCTCTGTGTGTGACAGGGTACGGAGCCACAACCCCCCTTGATGGGCCCTGATCTGAGAGTGACAGGGAGCAGCGCCCCAACCCCCTGATCAGCCCTGCTCTGTGGGTGACAGGCCGCAACCTCCCAACCTCCCCATCGACCCTGCCTTGAGTGTGACAGGGGGCGGTGCCCCAACCCCCCAATCGGCCCTGCTCACCAGGGGCTCCCCCCTCCACCCGCCCCCTGAGTGCACAAATTTTTGTGCACTGGGCCTCTAGTCTATACTAATAAAAGGGTAATATGCTAATAAGACTGGACAAAGCCATGGTGGCGGGGCCAAGGCAGAGGTAGTTAGGGGCAATAAGGCCAGGAGGGGAGGGCAGTTAGGGGTGATCAGGCCAGAAGGGGGGCACAGTTGGGGGCAATGAGGCCAGCAGGCAGAGTGGTTAGGGGCAATCAGGTAGGCAGGCAGGCAGGTGAGCAGTTAGGAGCCAGCAGTCCAGATTGTGAGAGGGGATGTCCGACTGCCAGTTGTCCCACAGGAATCAGGCCTAAACCAGCAGTCGGACATCCCCCAAAGGGGTCCTGGATTGGAAAGGGTGCAGGCTGGGCTGAGGAACCCCCCACCCCTGTGCATGAATTTTGTGCACCATGCCTCTAGTAGTAGTAGTAGTAGTAGTAGTAGAATAATTATCCAAGTACCTTTTTTCTTTTTTTTTCTTTTTACTATGCATTGAGTTTCTCTTAGAGAGGAATGCTGTTTTATTCAAATTTGTATCATACCATGGAATATAAATATTTGGGGAATAAATCTTCTCAGTTCAGGAGATACAAGTAATGATTTGCAACAAATATACCCTTTTAAGTTCATTTGAAGTCATGATTTCCATATGAACAAAGAAAAAAGTGATGGAATGTATTATAATCCTTTTATCCTATTTCCTTTAGCCACACCTCTAATTTCTTTTATATTCTATGCTCTGGATTGATGCTTAATTGACACTAATTATAATGTTTATTCATCTCTGAAACATGTTTTCTCCTGCCCTCTTGTCTGAAGTGGGTTGGAGAGGCAGCATGGTTTGAGGTTATGAGTGTGGATTTGGGAACCCGACTACTTGGTATTGAATTCTGGTCTTGCCATTTACTAGCTGAATCACTTTGTGCAAGTTATATCACTCTGTGCCTCTGTTTCCTCACTTGTTATAATAGTACTTGATTCATAGGGTTGATATATTAATACGTGTTAGGTTCTTAGAATAGAACCAGGAACAAAAATGACAGCTTTTATCTT